GTTGCGTTTTGCACTCTTTGATTCAGGCGAAGCTGATCCTTCTGATACGCTCAGTGCTCATTTGTACTTCTTCAGGTGGGGGGTTGTTTTGTAAGAAGTCCTATAGGTATGGATTTTTTCTTTTTTCATGTAGCTTGCCAGGAGTGTTTTGTTTTGTTGTGGTTTTTTGGCAGAACCAGGGATTGAACTCAGGCCTTTGTGCTTGCCAAGCAAACGGTTATTCCACCAAGCCATCTGCCATCTCCCCTGCCCCATTTGACTCTTTAGAAATGCTGGTAGTAGGGTTTTGGAAGGACTACGGGCTCTGGGCTTCCTCTGGCCCCCTGAGTGCCCACAGCGCCCTGAGCTCACAGGCGTGGAAATTCCAGGGCTGCCAAGACAGCGCACCTGGGTCTTCCTACTCTGTGAGCTCTGCTCCCCCCAGGCTCCCAGCAGATGGCATCCGGAGCAGATGCTGGGGAGCTCACCTGCGCACTTTGTCCTAGCCCCAGGGCTCTGTGAGAGCTGCTCCATGCAGGACCCTGCTCCGGAGCCGGGCCTGGGCCTCCTTCGAGGCTCCTGCACTGTCCTCCCGGGGTGGGGGATGCCCTGGCCTGGACCCATCTCCCTTCTGGCAGCAGCAGGGCCCCCATGGCTGGTGCTGGGGGTCTGGGAGCGGCTGGTGCAAGGCCCACTTCTGCACTGACCGGGGCCTAGTGGACCTCAACAATTCCACAGCAGCCCTTCTGAACTGCTGGCGTGGCCTTGATATTGACCTTATTTCTCAAATCCCTGATGTTTGCTTCAGTAAACAACTGAGGCTGATAAGCGCTTAAAACACCTGGGGTCAGGGTCAGCCAGACAGCCGGCCCAGCGCTGTAGAAGGTCTCCCCTTGCAACACTGTCCCTTTCTCACACAAATTCCAACCTGCTGATGTGTCACCAGGAATGGGACAAGTCTTCTGCCTCTGAGACAACCCTCCCTTCCCTCCCCTCCATCAGCACTGCCAGGGATGACACAGCACCCAGCACCCACAGACACCCTCGTGTCCACCATAAGGCCTCAGCAGCCAGGGAAGGGGTTGGGAGCCCCCTCTGCCCAGGCTCCCAGAAGTCCTTGGCCAAGTGGCATCTGACGAGTGTCTTCAGATTTCCTGGTCTAGTACCTTAGCTTTGCCCTGCCCCATCCAGTAGGTACCAAAGGGGACACAGGTTGTGGTCAGGGGTCAAGGTCATGGCGAGGGGTGAAAGCTGTACCCTGGCAGAGCTTTGCTGAGCCCACCCACTGCACCCTCACCCCAGCCCAGGGACTGTGACAGCCCACACAGCAAGAGGGACCTCGCAGGTGCAAACAGGTAAGGGCCTGAAGTGGGGTCTGTCCTGGATGTCCTCGGACTTTTTGTGAAAGGGAGATGGGGTGTCAGGAGCTTAGGAGAGGAGATAACGGAGGAGCAGACGGTCAGTGTGACGCAGTGACCGTGCCGCACGGCTAGCAGCCTGAGAAAGGTGTCCTAAGCCTGTACAGGGAATGCGGCCCACAGCACACATGTGCTGCTTAAAGCCACGCCAGGTGCCGGCCACAGCGCCCCGGCACTGTTGGAAGTTCTTACGCTGCTGAGATTTCAGTCTCCACTCGCAGGCAGTGACACTGATGGCATCTCCTTCCTCTTCCTGCTGGGGCAGACCGGGGGCAGCAGCCACGCACCACCCCCAAAGCCCACAAGAGCCTGGCCCCACCTGCACTTTGGGCCTCTGCCTGCAGCCCACACCGCCCCATCTGCACCTTTCTGCTTGTCCTCTTTCTTTCCGTATTCTCACTGTCCGAGTCCCTGGCTTCTCCTGCAGCACCTAGAGAAGGACAAGTGGGCAGCAGCCACTCCCACCTGAGCGTAAGCGAGCAGCCAGTGAGGTGCCCCCGTGAAGTCCTGCACGAAAGCTTTGGGGGACTCGGAGACTCCCACAGGAGCTGCAGAGGAGACTTGGAGGGAGGGGGGTGTCAGGGGAGGCCCACAGGGCATTGAGTGAAGAAGGGGACCCCTGCAGAGCTCTAGGTGGGATCAGGGGTTTTGATGGTCCTGGGGGCGCTGGCCTCAGCCTATGACTAAAGGGATCATCCAGGCCTCCCCTCCCCTCCTCTCTGCAAAGGGTGCCATTGGAGCAACCAGGGGGAGTCAGGGC